TGAAAAAAAAAGTTTTATGATTTAGTTAACAATATTTCTAACAGTTGTAGAAGAGAAGGAAGAACCCCCTGCTCCACCTCCAACCAAAGGACGTGGTCGCAAGCCAAGGAAAGTAGCTGTAGAGCACTGGTAAGTTCCATACATAATTGACATAGAAACATTTACTTGTTTGCATACATAAGTCTGTATGATTTTTCATTCCATTGCATTTGAAAATATATTCTTTGAGGGAAAATTGTAGACCTGGAATTTTTATTGAAGGGCAACATATATTCTGTATAAAAGTATATATCACGTCAAAATTGGTATTCAGTAACATTTAAAATGTTTTGGAGTTATGCATATATTTAAATTCCTTTCTCCATAAGCTTCATTTTGATACCAAAATCATCTTCACATCTTATGTAGCTGCAAAGATATGGTCACTTGAATATCGGAAAACATGGGAACTTTAACACCCAAAGTTTTGAGAAAATCAGGGTTAAAGTTTAAGGACGATAGCGTTACAATTTCCTTAGCAACCACTCATTTTTATCCATGATTTTGACACCAAAGGAAGTATACAGTGTCGATACATAATTAAGCACTGATTTGTAATTTTACCTTGATATGGGTGTTTTACAACTGAATTTAATCCAATTAACTTCGGTTTAAAAAATGAAAAATCAGAAGGTACAGTGGATTGGTAATGAAGACGAACTCTTGTATTCTTTCAATCTTTGAACATATAACTATTACTGAATGATATAAAAATATTACCCTGGGCTTCCTTATTACCAAAATCTTCATTTGAAACTTTCAGAGGGAAGGCAGTCATGGTGTGGGAGTGGTGGGGGGGGGGGAAGCCACTTAGCATGAGTAGCCTAGATAGCAAGGTCTTTTCTGCAAACCATTCACATTTTCAGTGTGTGGGATATTAGAGAAATACTTTTCATTTGCAGTCAAATTTGATGGAATTTTCGGCACTTTTTCTTCAAAACTGTTCAAGATCTTCGTACCATGCTTCAAAAAGGCCTTCAAAATCTTTTGGAATTGAATTTTATTGTATTTTCACTTGGAGACGATAGATAGGTATTTATGAAGCATTTTATAGAGAAATCCGAAAATCAACAAATTTGACCTGATATGCATAAAAATAGTGCTAGGTCAAAATTGCCCAGTGCGACACCTGTTTTGACGTGTGGGGTTACATATTTGATACAGTAAACTGGTCACAAGAAAGAATTGTGAATTGTTGTGACTTCAATTAGGACAGCACGAACTTGATGAGACAGGTGTGTTTTCATGCACATAAGAACTGAAGCTGGTACAAAATGAAAGTTGTTTAGAGTTGGAAGCTTTAATCCTAATGTCAAAATGTATGACAATATTATTTCTACTGATATTTCATATAGCAAAGACTCCTTCCAAGTACCATAAAAGGAAAAGTCACTTTGTTGTTATTATTGTCACCACTGACATTTTAATTCTTAATGTTTCAAATATTTACAGCAAATCATGAAGTGTTTTCAAGCGGAATGCTGTTCAAATTACGAATGGCATCCGCGAAAAGTTCCCCGATGTTGAGGTGGAACTAAATGCTACAAAACCCCGTAGCAAAAGCTTTGAGGTAAGGATTAGTTCTTTGTGGTCCTTTATCGCCATACTAGGAGATTTATACAATTTAGTAGTTCAATGTCGTTATTACTGATTTGCTTATAATGCTAGATTTTTCTATTAGAGTATAGCTAGTTCTAGTGATCTAAGGTGGAGACTAATGATACGATAATAAGGGGTTGAATTTTGATAAGTAATAATTTGTTTACAATAGATTTTGAAATTTTCAAAAAATTGCAAATCCATATCATTTCTAATAAATTAAAACATTCTTCCAACGAGTAAGGAATTGATAGTAGCTGCAGTGAATTTTGAAATTATTCTTTCAATATGAGGCAACAAAATTTTGTGAAATTAGCTACATTTTTATCAATATTCCAAATATACCTTTAAGTGTATAAACATGTTGCATGATTCTTTATGTGAAATATTTTTCTCACAACAGATCACAGTCACTTTTGATGATGGGGAATCAGCACTGGTGTGGTCGGGAATCAAGAAGGGACCCCCAAGAAAGGAAAAGTTCCCCGAGTTAAAGGTTGTCTTGGAAGAGCTTGAGAACCAAATGTAATTGGGACTGACTATTGTGTAGGAGTGTAGTTTATAATGTTGTCCCTGTTAAGAGATCTCAAAACTAAAGATTTATATGATTCACCTCAGAAAAAATTATCTGGTGTATCTTTCTTCTTAGGAAAATTAGTCCAAGTTCACTAAGTAGAGACTAATGTTGTTTATTCAGATTGTTTTCTTTAGGTTAGGAAAGTAAACTTTCACAAAAAAAATTATTAACAGGGACTACCTGAAAGAGTGGGAACTGCCTGGGTAGTGTTGATGTAAGGAATCATTCTCTTTGATTGTTTTCTATGAAGGTCCAAAAGCGGAAAGCCGTTTGGTTGCTTAAGAC